CCCCCCACCATCTGTTACACTTTTCCCTTCCTATGTCCCCTCCCTTTTGGCCCCCTTAGACCCCATTCTTGCCTCTGTTTTTCATGCAGTGTGTTTTACATGCATTTTACACACATCCGTTAAAAGAAGTCACACCAGGCAAGCACACGCTCCACCAAAAAGGAGTAAACCTCTCTAGGCTGCTTTCCATGTCACGGACCATTCTGTACCCAAACAAGCAATGTTTTGTGTGTGTGTGTGTGTGTCTGTGTACCCACTTTGTACTGCTTTGCATATTGCATTGTCCATGTGCACCTTTCTTTTTTTGCTAGTTTTATGGCCCATTCCGACCCAATGCATTTTGATGTGTTTTTTTTTTAGCACATTAAAAAACACACACAAAAAAAATAGGGTAGTTCATGACAGTGCGTTGCATAGTGTTTTGGAAAAAAAACAGAGCATGGTGCATTTTTTTAAAACTCCAATGAAAGTTAACGCATAAAAACATGAAACCACATTCAAATGCATCTCTTTTAATAAGAGTGATGGTACCTCCTTAAAAAAAATGATGCACGTAAATGCATGTGCCTTTGACATTCTTTTTAATGTGTTTTGGTGGCAATGTGTCCTTAAATAAATGAGGCTGCCATTGTTTTTTTTTTGGATTTGGTACAGGAACACACTGGATGTCTTCATCTGTTAACAATGCCTGTTTCAAAGAGAAAGGGCCACTGATCATGCAAGACTTAGTGGAGCCAGGTGCCCCACCAAAGGGAATTGGGCTATCTTGCCAGTACTCATCTCTAGGAGATGAATTGCTGCAGGTGTGTGTGTGTGTGTGCGTGCGTGCGAACGTACTGTATGCCCAGGCCTGTCTGGCCCTACAGGAATTTTGACCAGGCCGACATCTGAAAGGAAAGATTGAGCCTGTATTAAAGCAGACTGTGGGACTAAGCAGTATAAATAGCTAGGAAGCTCTATTTTATTTTGTATCGGTGTGATTCCAGGTCAAATAGGAAGTTAATGGTTTAAGCTGGGTAAACACAGTTAGAATTGCATTTGAAGAAAAAAAAATGTCAGAACATTTTTCTAATAGTGAATGGAGTTGGTATTGTTTTTGGAGTTTTCGACCGCAGTGACTGAAAAAAAATACAAAGGGATGGAAAATTTTCTCGAAGGAACAAAATTCAAACAGTAAATGTGGTTATGGTTTGCAAAATTCTATTCATTCCAAAATTGAATCCGAATTTCTGATGGCATTATGGAATGTTCTGATCAGATTTTTTTTCATACAAACGTCCGTATGAAATTCTAACTGTATATACCCAGCTTAAAACACAAAAAGGAAATATGTGCCTAAGGCCAAATTTTCACAAGTACGATCAAACCGCCTTCAGAACAAACCTCAAAAGAATCTGAACTGAACTAGTTCTTTGCCAAGATTTTCTATTG